CTATACTTAAATAAAAAATAAATTAATAAAAAATGAAGATATTCTTCTTTTTTTAAAAAAGGTTTTATTCATTTATTTTTAGAGAGAGAGGAAGGGAGGGAGAAATAGAGGGACAGAAACATTGATGGTTGCCTCTTGCATGCCCCCAACTGGGGACCTGGCCCACAACCCAGGCATGTGCCCTGACTGGGAATCAAACTAGTGACCTTTTGGTTCTCAGGCTGATAACTCAATCTGAAGAGCCACTCCAGCCAGGGCAGGTATTATTCTTAAAAACAAAACAAAACATGGAATTGAAAAAGAATTTGTCAGGCTTGGATTTAATATCAGAGTAACTTTATCCCTCCATTCGTTCAGTGAAATTATATTATTTAGTATGAAATCGCTGCTCTTGAATACCATTGCCATGGAGGAAGGAAAATTAATTCTTAGAAGAAATTCTTCATGGAGATCAGCATGTATTTAGAAAACCCAAAGTTCTGGTTATGAGTGAGGAAAACCAGATCTCTAAGGTGACTCCCAGTGATAACTGTCCTTGCACATAACAGGGAGGCAGACCTCTGGGGATGCAAGTATGCACCTTCAGTTTGCAAAAATTCCCTCTGCCTTACTCAAAGGGCACGGCTGCTTTTCAAAGCTGATTTTGACACTTCATTGTCTGGAGATCCCATGTGAGGGACTAGTGTCCCGCTCTTTTTCTAAATAACAGAGCAATGCCAATGAAAACAAAATTTAAAGGTTTCATTTTAATCTTACATATAAAATGAACCTTAGGAATTTTAATTATAAGTGAATAACTTTTAGTCTCTCAGTTAATTAGTTTGGAATTTTGCAGCTATGCACCATAAAAAGCATACATTAAAATGATTTTTAGTTTCTCATGAAGACAGGGAGAAGTGCTCTTCTGTGCTGTGGAATTTAGGTAGACATGAGCCCCAATTTCTACTTTGTCATGTTTACTAAAACATGATCTCAGGGCTTCAGAAATTCCTCCCAGGGTGCTTGGAAATGTCCATATTAATTTGAAACAGACATACAATATTATGAAATATCACCTTGAAATTAACATAGTATGATGAAATATAACAATGATATTGTCCTGTAATTGGAACAAATTTTAATTTTTACCTATCAAAAACAACATTGCTAACCACTGAAAAATTGCTATATTGTGTATTGTAGAACTTAGATTTTACCTGTGTTGATAAATTAATGTACCAATGCTATCAATCATTTCTTTATAATAGAATCGACCATACTCAGTAGCAAAGACATGCCCTGCCCTACATTTTCCTCATCCTCATCTTCATGTATTTGCTGTGCATCCTCATTCTCATCTTCTTGTATTTGCTATACCATTTGTCTGGAAGATTTCAGTGCTGTTCATGTTCGATGCCCCACATGAATTTTGCATATTTTGATAGACATAGCAAACATTTTGACAGGACATTCAGAAAAATGTAACAGCAGTTTATAACAATTTTGACTCTGGAATGAACAGAAATGTGGCAGTTTTGTTCTGATGCTAAGGACACAAAGTGTTTGAATGCTTGGGGCTATTAGGAGAGTCAGCATGATATCTAGTCAATATGATAGAGAGTGAAACTGCTTCAGAATGTTGGGGGTGGGTGTTCTTTTCAAATTACTGATTATCTGGAGTTAACCCATGTGAAACTGGTCAAATCAATCTCAAGCCTTTTTTCTTTTTTAACTTTAAACATTTCCAAGGCTAGACCACTTATTTTGAAATTACAAGTTGGAAAAGCACATGTTAGTGATAGGAGAAGAGATTGCAGTCCAGAGCCTGCATGTACCTAGAGAATCTAATGACAGTTTTTCAAAAAGAAATTGAACTTTATCGGTGTTTTCCAGAAAAAAAAAAGAAGTCTGCCCATTTTCAGTACACTCAACACACACAGAATGGAATAATTCAATGGCCAATGGGCAGGTAGGAATAAATGCTAGCCCTTGAGCCAACATGATTTCCAAACACAGCATGAACACCTAGAGAAGAATGAGACACAAGGCAATTTCAGTGGCGCCCTGCCCATCTTTCATGAGCACTGAGTCCTAGGCTACAGGTACAAGTGTAAAAGGAGAAATTGCCCTTGGCAGCTGTCCCTCAGCACAGCACTCTGAGAGCAGAGATTCGTAGCCCAGTCACTAAAGACATGATCTTAGAAATACCAAGATTCTGGCACTAGATTCTTTATCTCTCATTTTATTTTTTTATGAGTAGTGTGTTTATTTGGGTCTGAAGAATTGTGAGAGATTAGGTAAAGCCCATTTCTTTTAATAGCAGTGGTGATGCTTAATTAAAAAGTGGGAAATTGGGTCTTTCAATTGCATAGGAAATGTTTCACACGTATTTCCAAGTGATATATTACATACCACATCAATCTTAGTAGTATCATTTAGGAATAAAGTCAGTAATGCTTGTGTTTGTCATCTGATGGTACAAATGAGTCACAATCACTTAGTGTTTGAATTCCAATTTTGTCACTTATAATGTGACTGCAAATCACTTCATCTCTTTGGGCCTCAGTTTTGTTTATTTGTAACATGGGGATAATAGGGTTGTTGTGAGGAGTAAATGAGATGCTATCTGGACAGTGCTTGAAATACTAGGTGCTCAATTAAGAGGTGTTACATGTTCAGTGAGTAGAGGTTGAACCACATGGTCTGTAAAGTCTTGATTCTTATTCATATATTTCTTAAAGGCAGTTAGACTTCTAATGACACAACTATGCTTCTACATTCCTTTTAGTTGCAGTAGGAAGTGGGGATAAGATTTGCAAAGACATAAATGCACATAGAAGAGTACAAGAGCATCATTTTCCATATCCTACTTTATTAACCTTCAAAAAATTTTAATTGATGCCTTGATCCTCTTCTTTAGAATGGAAAACTTACCAGGGTAGAAGTATTGGAACAGTAACTTGTGAATGTCATTTTCTTTCAAGTGATGGTGTCTAAAAAGCCATATGTCAGTATGAAGGGAAGGAAATTGTATTATGTATAGAATTATAAGAATGGCTGTTACTCATACTTTCCTGTAGTACTGCTAATGCTTAAAGAAATGACATGGTCTCTGGATATTTGTATTGTTTTGATGTCAACCATATTGTACATTTTATTAGATACTTAAAAAACCAGCAAATGTATAAAGAAGGACTGCTATAGTTTGCTGATTTTATAGAAATGCTGAGAAGTAGAAATTATGGGTCAAGGGAAATGGAACGTGGGAGAAGTCTCATTGAGGCCTGACATATATTGATTGCGTTTCTCCCTAAAGTCTGGTTGTGTAGGTGTTTGAGTATTTCTTTTTCATAATTCTTCACTGTTAACCTCACCTGGTGGGACATTCTGTTCTTTGATCCCGGATGCCCTGCCGCCCATTGCCCTGGGACTATAGTTTGCCTGCCCTGCTGGACTCACGGGATTGGGTCTTGACCTGCTTTTGTCAATGACTGTGTCTGTATCACCTCCGGGAGCGTTGGTTCTGGCCCAGGTGATGGTCCCAGAGCCAAGGGCTGGCCCTATCATGTCTACTCCAGGCTGCCATTTGCCCAAGTCCTGCTAAATCTTGAGGTTTAAATAGCCAGAAATGAAATCTCCGAAACTGTATGTAAAAGGTAGGGTGTTTATATGCAAAGTAGGAAGGGCCAGAAACAGCTCAGTGTGAGAAAGACATAGTAAAAAAATCCAAGCAGGAAGTCCCCAAAGATATTCGGGGGGGGGGTCTGAGAACCAGCTGTCTTGAGGGGGTGGTGAATGGAATCTAAACAAAACACACTTGTTCTAACAAGACCAGAGGAGTTTAGGAGGCAGTTATGCAGATCTGAGAATAGTGCTTGAGGTATAATAAAATGAATAAATTCATAGAATGTATGATATTCTCATACTTGATTGTCTTCATAAAATTCTCAAGAAGGCTACAGAGAGATTTTGCAGCTGGGCCAAACAGCAATGCTTCTTTGCTCCAACAGGTCAAAGCTGAGGGCTCTGATGCCCTGCCAGGCAGGCTAGACACTAAGGTGATCAGGAAAATCAGGTTTAGACCTTTTCTATCTTTCCATTATCTGTCCTTCTTTCTAAACTCTCAGGATTCCTTAGTTTATTATGGAACAGTCTTCTTTCTGTCTTTTCAATGCCCATTGTATCTTTACTAGCAACATACCCAAATGGACAGGACCTCCTGGACGTGTCTCCTCCTCTATAACTATTCTCTTCTTTTGCTCCTTTCCTCTCTACCCCAGTAATCACCATCTCAAACACATAAATTATAGGGGGCTGCTTTGCATGGAATTGGGGACTGTAGTCCCGCGCACACTGGGGCCTGGGAAAGGACCCATAAGTCTTGGCCGGAACACTGGTAATGCTGTTGATAGGCAGGACCCAATAATAGCTCTGAGGACCCCCAGGGAAATCAGGCCTGAAAGTAAATTACACTCCTTGAAGCATGCTTTGTTTCTCCCTCAAGCTCTGTTATTCTCACACCAGGTAACCAGCTCATGCTGGGAAGGAAATTTACATTATTCATGGACCTTGATGCAAAATCCATTTGGCGCCATTATATTTACTCATCTCAGACCCAAACAGTTTGGTGTGTTTCCTGCCATTTGTCTTCTTCAGACATCACCTACTCTCTGTAAACTTAAGATACTGATGTAATCAGGTTACCTATACATTCCTGCTACCTGTCCCCCCACTGGTAACCCTCTCAATAAAAGCCATTGAACACAGGGGTTCAGGGCATTCCCCACCAGAGGGAATCACCTTCCCCTTTCCTTGGCAGGCACACGGTGTCTGGAATGAGTCTTCCAGCTGCGGCGAGTCCAGGGACTTCGTGGGCCAGGGTCCTCCTTAATAAATAAAATCACCTATTCTTGTTTCATTCCCTTTCTTTAGAACAGTTAGATTTTGCTCCTCTCTGACAAAATAGGAGACAGTTCATAAAGATTAAAAACATTAGCTAAAACTAATAGTTAAAAACTCTGGTGCTCACTTTGGCAGCACATATACTAAAATTGGAACAATGCAGAGATTAGAATGGCCCTGCGCAAGGATGATGTGCGAATTTGTGAAGCAAAAACAAACCAAAAAAACCCCCAAAATTCTGTCTATGATGTTATCCAACAAACTTTCAAATTAGAAAATCTTAATTTTTATAGAGTATGCAAGCTATAAAATAGTTCAAACATGATACCGTTTTTTTTTTTTTCTTACTCATGTGAAGTCAAAAGCAGATATTTCTAATTGGTGGGAAGCTCTAAGTAGGGATTCAGGTACCCAAGCTTCTTCTAACTCCTACTTTCCACACTTGCCATGTCTCAAGTGAACATGGGGAGAAGAGCCTGAAGGAATGCCTGGGGAAGGTTTTGTGGGCCAGGCTGCCATTCCAACTGCAAGGGCAACTGGAAAATGTAGACAGGTATGTGCCCAGAAAGCAGTTTCACCCACAATTCTTATAGTTTAATGGTAGGAAATTTTCTTTTCTCTGGATAAACGAACATGCTTCATTTTGTAAATAAGGGAGAGTCATGTGCCTAATGGTATTTTGTGTTCTGCCTTAAGTGCCAGGAAGTTAAAAGCTAAATGTAGCGTTCAACTGATAGAACTATTATTAATACAGATTTTTCTGGAACAATTATCTGCTATTTTCATATATGACTCTTGTTCTTTTATCTTTGCTTTAATGGTCCAAATGCCTATGAATCTTCTGTTGTAACTGAGATAAATCTCTGTCTGGAAATCAGTGGAGGTAAAATGACAAATAGAAATTTAGTATTTTCGAAGCACGGTACGATTTTATAAAGTACTTCTGTAAGCGTTTTGTCATTTGATCCTCTCACAAACCTGGAATGTAGGAAGGACAGACATTTTTACTTCCCATTTACACATAAGGAGAATGAAGTTCAAAAATATTTAATTGAATTGCCCATGGAGCAGGCAGAGCCAGGGATCAGAGGGTAGATTGTCAGCTCTCCGGCCATTATATAGCATGGCTCCCACTGTCTACAAGACAACCTTTCTCTGGGATGCTGCTCTAAGGAATAAGATAAGGACTCCAGGAACACAACGAGCATGCTGTTAATAGCACAGGCACTGGATCTTTGTAACTTGGAAGTAATGTGTAATCAGCAAATAATCAATAGTTCTTACAATAAAATCAATGCAGAGAAAGAATGGAAGAATAAAAGGAAAAGATAAGAGTAACCCGTTGCTTTTTAAAATCTATTTTTCTTTCTAAATGTATCTCAGTGAAGACTTGGGAGAAGGTAAACAGAAATGTTTAATTTATAACTGTGTTATACAGTACAGAGTGCCTTCAACAGCCTCAGTCAATTCATCACCTGCTGAACAAAGGCAGCAGGTCAGAACATATCTTGCCCCAACTTCCTTAGAGGAATCAAAAAGCCTGTTTTTGACGGCAGCAGAAAATCAGCGAAGCCCTGCAGGTCCCTCTCCTCAGCAGCAGGTAATAGTGTGAAGACAAATCCAATACCACTGCAGCTGGCGCAATTGGAAGTGACAGAGGACTCTTTGGTGATTTTGTCTGACTTGCTAGAATTTATGGGTGAGGTTAGCAAATGATGTCATCACCAAGACACAGTAAGTGAAGTTGTGTGTCAGCTCACATGAAAAATTGGTTTTCCTCCACACTGTGGCCTTTGTGCTGAATTCTTTGACAAGTTCTAACAGCTTCATGCCTTTTCCAATTTCTCTGTGTGCTTTTGGAACAGGTGCTTATAAAAATTAATCTGGATCAGAGAGGCTGATAGAGTGCTTTTGGTAAACGAACGTTTTAACCTTGAGCTTCAGCCATATCTGGAGCAGAGAAGGCAACTAGGAAACTTGTTATAACGGAGAGAGAACAAATGCAAAGATGCCTATTGCTGTCCATTTGTGGTGCAGCGACATAGCTGGACCTGTAGATGAAGGCCTACTTCTTCAAATTGCCTGATATTTAAAAAAACAAAACAAAGCAAAAAAAAACTTTAATTCCTACCATTTTGATTTCATGTTTCTCACCTATTATCAGGTGTAGCATACCCAATGATGACACAAAACCCCACCAACTCTGTTACTAAAAATAGGAAACCTCCAAATTGTCCCTTGGTTATTTGTAACTTTTTTCCCAAGACTCTGAGTCACACTTGCTTAGGCACAAGTTCCTTGGGGTCTTTTCTTTCTTCATTTGTCTTACCACTATCTTATGGGTATGATGTCCATTAAGTCTCAACTCTCTGTATAACATTATTCTCTGTTAAGGACTACCAGGTACACTATTTTCCTCCACTCCTTGGTTTTCCATGTATGCATGTGTTCTTCCCTAATGCCGAAGCCATGTTTCACACTGGTTTTGCTATAGACCTACATTGTCCAATATGGTGGCTACAAACCACATGTAGCTATTTAAATTAAATTGAAATAAAAATAAGAATTCAATAAAATGAAACATTCAGTTCCTCCAAGGCACGAGCCATGGTTAAAGTACTCAGGAGCCACATGTGGCTAGTAGTTACCACATTGGATAGTGCAGGTTATAGAATGTTTCCATTATTGCAGAAAGTCCTATTGGGCAGTGCTGCTGTGGGTCCTTCTCATGGAATCCTACCAACTGTTCCACTTCCTCACTTCTGGCCACATTTACATGACCAAGGGTCTCCTCTTAGCCCTGCCATGGCCCTGGAAACATATCAGACGTCTCATGCCTTGGAGCCTGAAGGTCAAGCTGATTTTTAGAGATAACAGAAAATATTTTCCTTTAAGCTACTCTAAGTCTAATTTTTCCACATTCCTTCTCCTAGAACTATAAAAAAAATGGGACCATCCATTCCTTTCAGGGGAGTCCTTACTTTCCTCTTCACCTCCCTCCCTTTGAATTTTTAGTCTGAATTTATGTTTAGTCTGAATTTATGGTTCCAACAACTCAGTCACGAAATTATCTGAAATTGGAACAGTACCCAAATTGTTTTATTCATGCTGCTCATATTTTAGTTATTTGAATGCATTAATGGAATTTCTCAGCTAACACCACCTCACACTTCATGTTTAAATACCGCTCTCTCAGGAAAGTCTTGTTGTACTACCCAGGCTGGATTAACACCTTACTATGTAACTATATATTCTTTTTGTTGCTCTAACTGCCCATGTTTTGATTAGGTTCAATGCCAGTATTTGTTTAAAGCCAAGTAGAAGGGTTAGGCAGGCAGAGAGATGTTGGTGTGAGATCCATAGGTCTCTGAGGGCAGAGACCATGGGTGCCAATGAGATAGCTGGGGAAGAGAGCAGGGTGTCTAAGGCCAGATCTTAGGGAAATCCTTCCAGGGGGCAGAGAAACTATTGAAGTTGACACAGCAGAGAAGCAGATTATTTACTGGAAGTAGCAGGATGAGAAACAAACAAATAGGAGAAGAAGGTGTAGTCAGTCATATACAATTTTATTCATTTTCATGATTTCTATTTATTTAACAGTCATGTCATTATTTTTAAAAGTGAGAATACATTTTTCTCATTTAAAAAAATCCAAGTAACACATGAAATTCCCTTATGACTATGGTCAACCTGCAATTCCTGCACTGCCTGGGTAATTACTCTTAATGTTACATTTCCCAGTGTATTTTTATTCATTTCTATCCATATATGCACATACATATATCACATATAGATTTAATTGCATATATTTACATATATTATCATTTTTTTTATGTACTCAAGGAAAAGTACCACACAAAGAACTGCTAATCATGTGAAAAGATACTCAAACTCATTAGGAATTAGATTTGAAACTTTAATCAAAAACAGAAGACATCCTTTTTCATTCATCAATTTGGCAAAGATTAAAAAGACCAATAATATTTACTATAGGCAAAGAATCAGGGAAATGGACACTATTACTAAGACTGTAAATAATCAAAGTTTTTTTGTAAATTTTCTAGAATATATCAAATATAAAATGTATTAAAAGTATTATTTTTTTACTTAAATCATTTTTTATTTTTCAATTACAGTTGACATACAGTATTATATTAGCTTTAGATATACAATCCAGTGATTAGACATTATATAACTCACTTAAGTTATCACCTCAATAAATCTAGTACTCATATGACACTGTACACTGTTATTAAAATATAATTGACTATGCTGCACTTTACATCCCCGTGACTATTCTATAATTACCACTTTGTACTTCTTAATCACATCACCTTTCTCATCCATCCCTCAAACCTCTCCTGTCTTAAAAAAAAGACCCTTTAACACTTCTTGTAATACTGATCTGGTGGTGATGAACTCCTTTTCTTGTCTGGGAAACTCTTACCTGTCCTTCAATTCTAAATGATAAGTTTGCCAGGTAGAGTGATATATTGTAGTTCCTTGCTTTCCATCACTTTGACTATTTCTTACCAGTCTCTTCTGGCTTACAAAATTTCTGCAGAGAAATCAGCTGACAGTCTTAAGGGAGTTCTCTTGTAGATAACTAACTGCTTTTCTCTTGCTGCTTTTATTATAAGAGTCTCTCTTTGACTTTGATCTTTGGCTATTTAACTATGATGTGTCTTGGGGCAGGCCTCTTTGGGTTCATCTTCTTTGGGTCTTTCTATGTTTATTGAACTTGAATGTCAATTTTTTTTTACCAGGTTAAGGAAGTTTTCTGTAATTATTTTTTCAAATAGGTTTTTAATTCCTTGCTTTCTCTCTTCTTCTGGCATCCCCGTGATGCAAATGTTGGCAAACTTAATATTGTCCCAGAGACCCCTTATACTATTCCCATTTTTTAAATATTCTTTTTTGCTGTTCTGATTGGGTGTTTTTTTATTTCTTATCTTCAATATCTCCAATTTGATTCTCTGCTTCATCTACTGAACTGTTGATTTCCTATAATGTATTCTGAATTTTAGTTAGTGTATTATTTATTTATGACTGGTTCTTTTTTAAGTTTTATACTTCTATTTTAATATATTTTATCTCTTTATTGAAATTCTCACTAAGTTCATCCACTCTTCCTCTAAGTTTATTGAGCATCCTCATAACCAGTGTTTTCAACTCTATCTGGTAGATTCATTGTCTTCATTTTTTTTTAGTTTTTTTCTTGAAATTTTGTTCTGTTCTTTCATTTGGGACGTGTTTTTTTGTCTCCTCTTTTGGCAGTCTCCCTGTGTTGGTTTCTTTGTATTAGACAGAGTTTCTATGTCTTTGGGTTTGATAGAGTGGTTGTAGGTAGTAGGTATTCTATTAGGTTCAGAGGCACAGCCTCCCCAACCACCTGAGCTGGGCACTCCAGGCTTGCCCCCCACTTCCATGGGCTGTGTATATCCTTCTCTGGATCAAGCTGAGTCTTGATTGCTGTTGTCATGTCAATGGGAGAAATTTACCCCCAGGATCATTGGCTACAAGGACTGGCTATAACTACCATGCAGGATCAACAGAGGAGGTCTGTGGAGCAGAATCCACTTCAGCAGGGTTCTGGGGACCACTGAGTCCTCCCCTTGAGTGTGTCACTTGTGAGGTGGCCCTTGGGCCTCCCAAGACCAAGGTCAGCCACCACCTCTGTCCTTCCCAGGGTCACCTGGCATAAGCTACAAAACAATCTGCCGATGGCTGCTAGTTTTACTGGGCTTGGAGGAGCTGAGGACAGACCAAGCAGCAAAACAAGGCTGGCTGCTGCTAGTTCCAGGCCTAGGGGCACACTATGGCCAGATATTGCTTGTTTGAGAAATTTTAGGAAAGCTTGAAACATGAGCCAAGACAGATCATTCCTATGGAAAAGCCATTGGAAATAGCTAGGCGGGCCCAAAAGTTGGGTGAGGCAGGGTCTCAGGGATTCACTAAGGCAGGGTGAACAGTATTAGCTAGGTTGATGGAGACTCAGATATGACACCTGCCTGCCAACTCCAGTGGGGAAGAGCCCAGAAAAGGAACAATGACCTCTGCCAGCATTTCTGTCTGGGAGAAAGCTGTTCCTTCAGCTCTCACCATGATGCCAGATAATTCAGTTCCTCCCCATACATCCCTGGTGCATTTTGAGGTGGTGCCCCAGTCCTGGATCTCAGAGGGAGTGAATTTGAGTAAGCCCATGCAGTGGTCCCATGCTTGGGACTTCAGGAGACTGCATCTCACTCAGCCACAATCTCAACTGGTTTTCCCAGGCAGATTTTCACAATCTCTTCCCAACACTGGAACCCTGGGCTGGGGGGACTTGCTGTGGGGCTGGGATCCCTTAATCCTCAGGAGGGACCTCTGCAGCCAACATATGCTTCCCAGTTTTGATCTGTTACATGTGGATGTGGGACCAGTCTGTTCTACACCTCCATCTCTCCTACTAGTCTTAATGTAGCTTCTTCATATCCTGAGTTGTAGGATTTCTGTTCCACTAGGTTTCAGATATGTAGGGTATGTGGAGGTGGTCTGGCTCCCTTACCCAGATGCATGGGTAACCAGAGGGAGCAGCTCCTTACAACCTTGATGGAGTAT